CAGTTGACCAAGGCCTTGGAATGTCCCCGCGGGAATTGTGGTCAACTGGATGGAGCCCAAAGAGAGTATCTGCAGTTGACCAAGGTCTTGAAATGTCCCCGCAGGAATTGTCGTCAACTTGTTGGAGCCCAAACTGAGTTCCTGCAGTTGACCAAGGCCTTGGAATGTCCCTGGAGGAATTGTGGTCAACTCGTTCAAGTACAGGTGGAGTTTCTGCAGTTGACCAAGGCCTTGGAATATCTCTGCAGGAATTGTGGTCAACTCGTTGCTGCTCAAATCGAGTTCCTGCAGTTGACCAAGGTCTTGGAATGTCCCCGTAGGAATTGTGGTCAACTCATTGTACCTCAGATTGAGGTGCTGCAGTTGACCAAGGCCTTGGAATGTCCCCGCAGGAATTGTGGTCAACTTGTTGTAGCTTAAGCTCAGCCATCGGAGCTTCTTTAGTCCTGTAAGCGTAGCTGGGTCAATCTTCTGGAGCAGGTTTTCGCTGAGGTCGATCACCTGCAGCTGTTCGTTGCGTGCGAAGATGGTTCCGATCTCCTGGATGCGATTGCCTTTCACGATGACATGATTTCGCTTGTCGCGTTTGCCGCCCAAGAGAAGCTGCTCCAACAGCGGCAAATGTCGCAGCATCGCAGCCGAGAGCTCGGTGAGCTGGTTGTCGCCTTGGTCGATGCCAATGGGTGACACAGATTGAATGTCAAACTGTTGTGTCAAAGAAAAGACATGTTTTTGTTCAAACTGTTCAGCTGCTGACAGGTGCTGACAGGTGCTGACAGGTGCTGACAGGTGCTGACAGGTGCTGACAGGTGTCTCATCGCCAATAGTTTCAGCTGCTCCAAGCCCCGAAAGGAATCTTCGTGAAGTGTTGCCAGCTCAACTCGTGTCAAGTCCAACTGCTCCAAAGATGATAGACCTGAAACAACGGCATGAACATCACAATTTGTGTCCTTGCATGGCTACTCAAAGCCTTCAAAATGTCAGCCCTGGATTAAAAACTCCATAAACTCGGGGCTTGAATAATTCATGGAGGTTTACTGTAAAAACTGGGGGTTTACTGTGTATTAATCATTATTAATCCATGGGTTAGCATTATACGCAACTGTTCTTCGACGAATGCCGCTCAAAGCTTCCTGCCTTCGAAGAGACCCGGAGGCAGGTGGATCAAGGTGTTGTTCGCCAATGACAGGCGCTGCACATGTCCAAGTGAGCTGAAAGCCTTTGGGTCCACGGCAGTGATGTTCTTCGCAGCCAGGTTCACCTAAAGTCAGCACATGTCCGTAAGCATCCAAAAACAGATGGGTTTGTCCGAAAAGATGGTGCCTCAATAGTTGATGGTTTATCATGATTGTCACCATTGAATGGCCATTTTGGGGGTCTATCGTGGGGTCTCGGCCTACCCCCATTTTCAGACACACCCAGAAAAACAAACCGCCGGTGATCCGCCCGGCCTGCTTCTGTCTGAGGACGGCTGCAATGGTGCAGCTGTCAATCTGTTGGCCAGCTGAGTCAGCATTGTCAGAGCAATGGCACGGAAAACACCTAGGAGACACTTGTAATCCCATTCTACAACCTCTTGTTTGATCTTTTCATTAAGACATCCCATGACAAAAAGATACACAAACGATTCCCTGAGAGCTCAACCTGAAATCCTGTCCATGGGTCATTGGAAAAACGTCCTGCAAAGGCGCTTGAACAAGTGTCGTCAAATCAAAATCACAGCTCGAGGTCACTAATGCAAATCTTATGCAGCAGTCCTGCGTCACAAGGAGAATCACCAGCATCGAAAGGAGCCCAATGGAAAGGGAGCACCCAAATAGTGTTGGAAGAACTCTCCGTTTTTGGCGCTCGCCCCTGACATGCTGTTTGCGTTTGTCAGTTCACAACGAAAATGTCATCTTTGCATGGCAAGATATGGCATGGCAAGCTGTTTAAGTCTTAGTGTCGAGGCCTGGGTCGCACTGGCAAGCTCCAATTGGTGTGCTGCAAAATGTGTGCAATGCAGCATGCGTGCACAAAGTTAAAATAAACGGCGCCATAGCCCAGAAAGTCAGAGGGAAAGGCGAACACAGGGCTGATACGATTGCCTCAGATATCCAAAAAGTTGCGGTGAAGATCCCACTCAAATTAAATGGCGCCGCTATGCAGAAACAAGACGCGTGAGACACTTGAGGCACTCAATATTGCAGCTTTACGCATTGACTTCATTGAGCTTAGTTTCTGAATTGCAACGTCAAGTCCTCGCCAAAATTTCCCCAGCCTTCGGAGGCTGTCTGCAATCGCAGCATGGCCACCAAAACCTTGCAGCAACTACACTTTTGCGTTTCCCGACTGAACGCCATCTGCAAAGCCATCAATGAAACGACGCTGAAACCCGTGAGACTTGTCAAACCAAATGAATTGAAACCTAGATGCCATACCCAGGTAGGTCAAGATGTAGCCAAGGTCCAGAGCAGCATCCATAAATGCTGCTCCAATTCGAGCCCAGGCAGTGTCAGGGAACATCAGAAGAAAGGCGGGATAGAGACTGTTCCAACACAGCAGGGCAAAGAAAGCCCAGAAGCCGACACCAAGCCAAAGAATGGCAGTCGCATCTTGTTGTACTTGGGCGAAGGTAACGAGGCCGCCCAACAAGGAGATCTTTCCCAAGGCCTGCACCGCAACGGTGAAGCATTGGAAGATCGCCACCTTGAAGGGGTAGTAAGCTCCGCGCAACCCAAAATACTTTTCCTCAGGACCAAGAACACCGAGATACAACGTGGAAAGGGCAATTTGAATGAAGTAAATTCTTGGATCCTGATGGAAAGCGTTAGTAATTTTCAAAAAAAATCGGACCCCCTTTATCCATTGTTGTATCACAATTTCCCGGTTTCAATTTAGACTGGTGGATGTACATAATGTAGGCTTGCATGACCTCTATTGAAACCTCCCTCGCAGAACACACAAAAACGGCATCTGCCTAGAAACATAAAGCACCTCCGTGGGTCGCGGCCTCTTCCGACTCGTCTTTCGGCACAACAGCTGTAACAGGAACACCACAACCAGGACCAAGTAAGGCAGGGCCAGTAATGCGGCCTCCATCCGGGCTTCTTCATTCTGTAGTTTCAAGAGAAGCACCACTGGAACTTGGATGAACTTGAAATGGTTTGCCATCAAACGACACAAATGAGTTCTGTGGCACAACAAGCATACTTGAAAATATCAAGAATGTGAAAGAACTCCCACACCTCCAAGAACGTCTCATTGGACTCCTCGGTGTCCAGTGCCAAGGCATCCAGAAGGAAGTCGGGCAGTCGAGAACGGATCTTGCAACGGATCTATATGACGCCTGGAGAATTGTCATGCTGCGGCCTACGATGGAATTTCGGTACCCCAAGGTAAACATACGTACAACAAGATGTGGAAAAACCATTGTTTCACTGTGACAATGATCTACAAATAGTGGATTTCCACATCTATCTTAGTTGACCCCAGGGTAACCATGCAGCAAAACCTGTTGATAATTCGTTTCTTTCCCGATCAACGCTATCAACCCCTAGTAGCAATCTCCTACACGTAGTGGCATGGGCATGACGATTTTCATCCAGTTTCATGGCCAGAAGGCACCAGGGTGGGAAAAGACCGAACAGTCTCCTGGGAGCGTAACGGAGGAAATATTGGACGGCCATGAAAAAGGACACGACCAACGCCACAATCTGCAAGAAAATGGTCCCTGCCATGGTCAAAGGCCCGACACTGGATGCATCGTTGCAAAGCCTGGCAAGGCAGCATGGCACTGGATGAAACGATCCAACCTGTCGACTTCGGACACACATATCATGGTCAAAAGCCGTTTCATTTGATTTTCCTTGGGTTCCTTTGGTTTCGGGTTTCTCGCCTCAGTGAAGTTTCCCATTTTGATTTCACGTCATCCAACAGCCCAAAATTGTCCGCCAACTTGGTCAAATCGCTCAGCTGATTCTCGAGCCTGCTCCGAACATGGAATGGAAACTTCAAACTCAACAACATCAACAACCAAAACACCCGAGACTTCTCAGAAGTAATTAGTGGTTGTTTTCGAGCAGGACACGACAGAGCTTTCACAGAAAGTAGTTTTTGAAGAGGCAAGTCGCTCAGTTCCATAAATCATTATGAAAGAATGTAAATCGGCTAGTCTTCAAGAGTGGTGACCCTCCAAAACCCATTGCGGCATCATCATTTTTCCCTCCCAAACTGGTGATTGTGGGGTCTCCAACTTTAAGAAAACACCTTTTTCCTGTCATCTATGGCGTGGCCTGGTCAGAGTGACATCCATGAGAAACACGGAGGAATAGTAATCTTCCACCTGCAGAACTACCTGGCCAGCGGAAGCTTCGCAGATGCAGATTCCATTCCCAAGTTCACAAAATTAGATGATTCTCAAAACACCAACCGAATTTTATGCTTCGATTCACTGTGGGGGTATGGAAAAGCCATGAAAAGCCATAATGATTCATGATAATAATGATCACTTCCCCATCAATTTTGTCACAGATCAAGCGGGAACATCGAATTTTCGTTGATTTTGCCGACTTTGCCTGCTTGATTGTGGATTTTGGACTCCGTTCTAGGAAAGAAAATTGACATCTTCCAGTTGACTTTATGTCATTTTCAAGGCGGGGCCTGACAGCACTTTTGGCCGCTGGCAGCCCCGCTCATCTCGGCAAAGGTGTCCCGGACACCAGCGATCCGCACGCCCAAAGCGACCATTTCTTCGCTCGCCAGGCGGTCCTATCCAGTCTGATTGCCAGGTTCCGCACTTTCGGCAGGCTACATTAGATGCCTTGTCTACATGTAGGCTACAGTGGCAACCAGGTTAAAAAATACAAATCTTAGAAACCAGATTGCACACCTTCTGGATGAGTCAGTGTATTCATGGCACTGAAGCAAAACGGACACTGAACCCCTGTGCACCTTGAGGCCCTTGAATGCTTCCTGAACGGATTGCATGTTTTCGCACATCAATTCGAATCGAAGCGCGTCCAGAACTTCTTGCGGGCCTTGCTGCTCGATGGACGAAATTGACGTGCAGGAAACATCACGAAACCATGATCATGTCTTGGGATTCTAGGGGGTTGAACTGTTTTGGACTAATTCGAGAAAGCAAAGATGGATGAATACGGGGAGGTCCCTGCAAATCATAAGTTCATCTAGTTGGACCATATTGGGTCATCCGTAAAACAAACTTCACTGGGACAGCCCCAAGAAAACATCTGCTTGCGACAAAATAGGCATGATATTGCATGATATGCATTCTGCATCTCTCAACTTGTACAACGCTTGCACCTGTGAAACCTTCTTAAAGGGCACCAAATGTTTGAAAGGATTGTCACCAAAAGAAGTTGAAAACCTGTGATACCTTCCCAACGAAAAATGTCACTTGGGTCTGTATAAACAACTCAAGCACACGACATTATAATTTGGAGAAGTAGATACTGGCACCAGCACGAGAAGCTGCTAAGATGGTCGAGTGGCTTCGCTTCTCTTCGTCGCTCAAATTGGTCAGCAACTTCAGCTTCAATCTAGCGTCCGGCAGCGCCACATTCATGGCTCTCCTGAAGCAAAACCATGAGGACGTGGAAGTTTGCGACGTGGAGAAGCTCTCAACCAAAAAAAGAATACACGAGACAAGGCACGCAATAGAGGGAGATGTTGTTGCGCACGCAAAAATATTCCAGCCCTGCAGGCACGCATTTTGACTTGAATTCAGTCAAAAACATGCAACGGAAAAAAGGAAGGCATGCAGGACTGGAATGGAATGGAATGGAATGGATTGGAATGGAATGGAACGGAATGGAACGGAATGGAATGGAATGGATGCATGTCAGCACAATCACATGTACAGAGCGAAGCATGAGGAAGTTAAAAAGGTGAATGCCGGTCGCTTCCAAGATGCAAATCTTCACTTTGACGTAGTTCTCGAGGATCTGCATAGCCGCAACCCATTGTGGGAACCCGGAGCATGTTGCCCGCATGGCTTGGCAGCCAAGGCACCCCAATGACGTTCTGAGCCTCTGGCAGCTGAAGCACCTGCCATGTCACCATGTCTTGGCAAGAGTGGTTCTGAAAATGTGACCCCCAAATGGTGGCTTTAGGAAGGAAAATGATGATCAATGATAATCCAGTGGATTTAGGGGTACACTATTCTCAAACAAAGACACATCATGTTCACAATATAAGGGGCTCGCCTAGGTTTGCCCTTTCCTTACCTTCCTTTTTTCAACCAAGTGTGGTTTATTTTGTCTCATGGTGTTCTTGTCTCTCTCGGTTTTCTCGGCTTGACTTTCGATTGTCCCACTCTGATTCTTATTGGGGATAAACGAGTCGGAAGAAACCTCTCAAAGAGACATACATTGACATACATCATACATCTATATACATCTTGTGAAAGAACAAACACTGGAAGGATTCGAACAGGGCACCTGGGAGTAACTTGCTTCTGTTGCCACCGCTTCCTGCAGAATTTGCGTTCTCACGGTGTCAAAGCGAATGCTCGTAGTCACGATGCTACCTGGGACGCTGGGACCCGGACCCCGTTGCCGGTTGCTCAACGGCACCATGCTGCGCCGTTGAGTCATCTCCAAGTCACATGGATAAACATCCACATAAACATGGTGGTTAGGTCAATTGCAGCCTGACAATTCCTATGATTTCCTATGGTGTTTTCGATGCGACATGATTCTGATTCTGATTCTGTACCGTCTGGATTGGAAAATTCGAGTACAAGCAGTGCGACTGCGAGATCTGAGTCACTCAGCACTATCACGGAGAGCAAAGTGCAGACCGCAGCCCATGGAACTCCCAAAGACTCTTCCAGTGACAAGCAGGCAACGGGGTACCTGCCGTGAACTCAGCATTCAAAGATGTTTCAAGTTTCAAGATGGCCAGCCCTCACAAGTCTCGGTGCAACTTAGGCACAGCGAAAGCAGGATCACGGCAAGGGTCGTCCGCTGCTGAATCTCAGCAGCAGCCTGCAATGTAAAAAGTAAGCTGAGTTCGGCCCATCGCCAGACCTGGCAGGCAACAGGGCTAAGCTTCCGCTACATGGCAAAGGCGATCTAAAACACAAAAAATCAACCCCCAAATAGATGGAAAAGTAAAATCCGATTAAAGTGATAAATACGTACGTCGTGGTCAAATGTGGTCAACCTCCCTTGAGGCGTGAGAACTCGGCAAAAACTGACGGAGTGATAAATTGGACCTGTTCTGTCTTTGGGGGATGACTATATAGATTATGTTTAATTATATAAATTCTGCAAAACATCACAACTAAACGCAACTGGCCGAGGGGCTGTCCGCCACCAGGATGCCAGTTTCCAACAGTGTCGCAGTAGCAGATGTTTAGGGCAAAAGCCATGAACATTTTCGTGGAATTCATGGCATCTGCTGTGGCTGCATGGAAAAGGAGCTCGCCCTCCGCAGTCGTCAATGGCGTCGTCAAAATCTACGTAGTCCACGGCCTTGCTACCAGCCAGCTCCACCTCCTGAAAGCTGACATGCTGTTTGAAAACAGATCTTGGAGCTACCGGTCAGTTTATAGTTTCTCACGCGAAAACAGCATGCAAATGAAAACAACATCCAAACGAAATTCATGGAGTGTTGCTTTTTGTTTGTATAGATTCTTGTAAACCGCAACAGATCAGTGATCCTGGATGGCTTGCGGCTGACATCCAGACCAAGACCATGACCAGGAAGGTTCGGCAACTCCCTGGCATGAACTGTGAGCAAGAACATGACAAATTCATGGATTGATCTGATATATTCAAAATCTGAGTGACATTGATGAACTATAATGAACTCATGTTTCAACATGTTTAAATTGTCTCGACTACCTAGGTTTCGTGCATTAACTCACACCAAATCAGCATTATACTGCCGGACTGGGAGTTAGAATGCTATATCTTGTTACCAAAAAGTTGGAAACCTCCTAAGTTAGAATGCTCAGAATTTTAAAGTTAGAATGCGGGTACCAGGGGTCATTCTAACTTTGGGTCCCAGTGTGCTAATCACATTCTAACTCTCAGACTTCATCTTTGATATCATTGCATAAATCACAGGAAAACACAACCCAAGACCCTCCATGCAAATCTATCTACTCTAACTCGCTGTCCGTCAGTATATATAAACATGTTTTGATCTAAAACTATAATATATCATAATTACTATGTAAGTATATATATATATATATGGTCCAGCGTTCCAACCCCCCTCCCCCTGGCCATGGTCATGGAATATAATTGTAATTATAAATATAATTTTAAATAAAATATATAATGTTTTTGCTTTCATTCCTTTCATTGTTCCTTTCACTTTCCGTTTGTCTGTGTGCGTGTGTGTCTCGACGCAATTTCCTGTAATTAATGTTCTTTTGATTCTGCTCATGTTTTTTTCAATTCATTTCATTTTCTTGCATGTTCCTTTCATTTTCCCTTCTTTACCTCCTTTTACCTCCTTTCAGCCAGTGTTAGCCTGCAAACCCCTCACTAAAGGCTCCCACAAATACATTTGCATGGTTCGGCCACGAGTTCAATATTTGGATGTTTGTGCACATTATTCTAACTCTGCTCAGCCTTTTGTCATTTCCATTGACAATCTCCCTGAAAAGGTGGTTTTAGGAACATGACCCTAGTTTAAAACCTAGAAGGTTCTTGTTTCAATTCCTTTCATTTTCTGTTCGCTTTCTTTTCAAGTCCCATCATGCATTTCCTGACATTTCCTTTCCTCTCCATTCCTCTTCCTTTCTTTATTCCTTTCACTTTCCCTTCTAGCGTGTCATGTGCTTACATTTTAAATCACCATCTGTGAGTTTTTGCTCATGTTCCTTTGATTTCCCATTCATTTTCTTTGCATGAAAAGTGTTCTCTCATACTTTTTTCTTTGCATGAACAGTGTTCTCTCATGCTTCTTGCAAACAAGCATAAAACAACATATCGCAAACACATTAGCCACGAACATGTCTATAGAAACAAGGTGTTCACCTGCTCTGTTACCCACATACTGCTAGAACACAGCAGAAACCGCAGCAACCAGCAACCATAGCTTGAATGCAAAATCCCTCACTAAAGGCTCCAAAACATAAATTTGTATGGTTTGGCCACGAGTTCAATATTTGAATGTATGGGCCACATTCTAACTGTGGTCGCCCTTTTCTCATTTCCAGTGACAATCTTCATGATAAGGTGACAAAAAGGTTTTGGTGACATTGCTTATCACATACGTTATCAGACCTTCCGACTCTGAACATGTCGTTCCATTTCCCATGCAAATAACTGGCTTTCATGTCCTTTTCACATTTCTTTTGTTCGCTGTCATTTTACTTGCATTGTTTTTCCCTCCCGTTTTGCTTTCATTCCTGTCATTGCTCCTTTCACTTTCCGTTTGTCTGTGTGTGTGTGTTTCGTACAATTTCCTGTAATTAATGTTCTTTTGATTCTGTTCATGTTTCTTTCAATTCATTTCATTTTCTTGCATGTTCCTTTCATGTTCCCTCCTTTACCTCCTTTACCTCCTTTCAGCCAGTGTTAGCCTGCAAACCCCTCACTAAAGGCTCCCACACATACATTTGCATGGTTCGGCCACGAGTTCAATATTTGGATGCATTGGACACATTCTAACTCTGCTCAGCCTTTTGTCATTTCCATTGGCAATCTCCATTGTAAGGCGGTTTTAGGGACATGACCCTAGTTTAGTCACCAAACATTCAAACCTAGAAGGTTCTTGTTTCGATTCCTTTCATTTTCTGTTCGCTTTCTTTTCAAGTCCCATCATGTTCCTGACATCTCCTTTCGTCTCCTTTCCTTGTCCTGTTTTTTTCCTTTCACTTTCCCTTCTAGCGTGTCATGTGCTTACATCTTAAATCATCTTCTGTGAGTTTTTGCTCATGTTCCTTTGATTTCCCATTCGTTTTCTTTGTGTGAGAAGTGTTCTCTCATGCTCCTTGCAAACAACTAAAAAAAAGAAAACATATCGCAAACACATTAGCCACGAACATGTCTATAGAAACAACAGTTTCACCTGATCTGTTACCAAAACCCTGCAGGAACCCAGCAGAAATTGCAGCAATCAGCAACCAGCGCCAGCATGCAAAATCCCTCACTAAAGGCTCCAAAACATAAATTTGTATGGTTTGGCCACGAGTTCAATATTTGAATGTATGGGCCACATTCTAACTGTGGTCGCCCTTTTCTCATTTCCAGTGACAATCTTCATGATAAAGTGACAAAAAGGTTTTGGTGACTTTCGTTATCACATACGTTATCAGACCTTCCGACTCTGAACATGTCGTTCCATTTCCCATGCAAATAACTCGCGTTCATGTCCTTTTCACGTTTCTTTTATTCGCTGTCATTTTCCTTGCATTGTTTTTTCCCTTCCGTTTTGCTTTCATTCCTTTTATTGCTCCTTTCACTTTCCGTTTGTCTGTGTGTGTGTTTCGTACAATTTCCTGTAGTTGATGTTCTTTTGGTTCTGTTCATGTTTCTTTCAATTCATTTCATTTTCTTGCATGTTCCTTTCATGTTCCCTCCTTTACCTCCTTTACCTCCTTTCAGCCAGTGTTAGCCTGCAAACCCCTCACTAAAGGCTCCCACACATACATTTGCATGGGTCGGCCACGAGTTCAATATTTGGATGTATTGGGCACATTCTAACTCTGCTCAGCCTTTTGTCATTTCCATTGGCAATCTCCATTGTAAGGCGGTTTTAGGGACATGACCCTAGTTTAGTCACCAAACATTCAAACCTAGAAGGTTCTTGTTTCGATTCCTTTCATTTACTGTTCGCTTTCTTTTCAAGTCCCATCATGTTCCTGACATTTCCTTTCGTCTCCTTTCCTTGTCCTTTCTTTTTTCCTTTCACTTCCCCTTCTAGCGTGTCATGTGCTTACATTTTAAATCATCTTCTGTGAGATTTTGCCCGTGTTCCTTTGATTTCCCATTCCTTTTCTTTGCGTGAGAAGTGTTCTCTCATGCTCCTTGCAAACAACTAAAAAAAAGAAAACCTGTCGCAAACACATTAGCCACAAACATGTCTATAGAAACAAGGTGTTGGTGCACCTGCTCTGTTACCCATATACTGCTAGAACACAGCAGAAACCGCAGCAACCAGCAACCATAGCTTGAATGCAAAATCCCTCATTAAAGGCTCCAAAACATAAATTTGTATGGTTTGGCCACGAGTTCAATATTTGAATGTATGGGCCACATTCTAACTCCGGTCACCCCTTTCTCATGTCCAGTGACAATCTTCATCATAAAGTGACAAAAAGGTTTTGGTGACATTGCTTATCACATACGTTATCAGACCTTCCGACTCTGAACATGTCGTTCCATTTCCCATGCAAATAACTGGCTTTCATGTCCTTTTCACGTTTCTTTTGTTCGCTGTCATTTTCCTTGCATTGTTTTTCCCTCCCGTTTTGCTTTCATTCCTTTCATTGTTCCTTTCACTTTCGGTTTGTCTGTGTGTGTGTGTGTTTCCATGCAATTCCCTGTAATATTCCTTTGATTCTGCTCATGTTTCTTTCAATTCATTTTATTTTCTTTGCATGTTCCTTTCATTTTGCCTCCTTTACCTCCTTTACCTCCTTTTAGCCAGTGTTAGCCTGCAAACCCCTCACTAAAGGCTCCCACACATAAATTTGCATGGGTCGGCCACGAGTTCAATATTTGGATGTATTGGGCACATTCTAACTCTGCTCAGCCTTTTGTCATTTCCATTGGCAATCTCCATTGTAAGGCGGTTTTAGGGACATGACCCTAGTTTAGTCACCAAACATTCAAACCTAGAAGGTTCTTGTTTCGATTCCTTTCATTTACTGTTCGCTTTCTTTTCAAGTCCCATCATGTTCCTGACATTTCCTTTCGTCTCCTTTCCTTGTCCTTTCTTTCTTCCTTTCACTTTCCCTTCTAGCGTGTCATGTGCTTACATTCTAAATCATCTTCTGTGAGATTTTGCCCGTGTTCCTTTGATTTCCCATTCCTTTTCTTTGCGTGAGAAGTGTTCTCTCATGCTGCTTGCAAACAACTAAAAAAAAGAAAACCTGTCGCAAACACATTAGCCACGAACATGTCTATAGAAACAACATTTTCACCTGATCTGTTACCCAAATCCTGCAGGAATCCAGCAGAAAATGCAGCAATCAGCAACCAGCGCTAGCATGCGAAATCCCTCACTAAAGGCTCCTATAAACTTGTATGGTTTGGCCACGAGTTCAATATTTGAATGTGTGGGCCACATTCTAACTCTGGTCACCCTTTTCTCATTTCCAGTGACAATCTTCATGATTAAGTAACAAAAAGGTCTGGGCGACATGACCCTAGTATGGTCATCATACGTTAACAGACCTTCCGACTCTGAACATGTCGTTCCATTTCCCATGCAAATAACTCGCATTCATGTCCTTTTCACGTTTCTTTTGTTCGCTGTCATTTTACTTGCATTTTTTTTTCACTTCCGTTTTGCTTTCATTCCTTTCATTGTTCTTTTCACTTTCCGTTTGTCTCTGTGTGTGTATTTCCATGCAATTCCCTGTATATTCTTTTGGTTCTGTTCATGTTTCTTTCAAATATGTTCCTTTCATTTTCCCTCCTTTACCTCCTTTACCTCCTTTCAGCCAGTGTTAGCCTGCAAACCCCTCACTAAAGGCTCCCACACTCATACATTTGCATGGTTCGGCCACGAGTTCAATATTTGGATGTATTGGGCACATTCTAACTCTGCTCGGCCTTTTGTCATTTCCATTGGCAATCTCCATTGTAAGGCGGTTTTAGGAACATGACCCTAGTTTAGTCACCAAACATTCAAACCTAGAAGGTTCTTGTTTCGATTCCTTTCATTTACTGTTCGCTTTCTTTTCAAGTCCCATCATGTTCCTGACATTTCCTTTCGTCTCCTTTCCTTGTCCTTTCTTTCTTCCTTTCACTTTCCCTTCTAGCGTGTCATGTGCTTACATTCTAAATCATCTTCTGTGAGATTTTGCCCGTGTTCCTTTGATTTCCCATTCCTTTTCTTTGCGTGAGAAGTGTTCTCTCATGCTGCTTGCAAACAACTAAAAAAAAGAAAACCTGTCGCAAACACATTAGCCACGAACATGTCTATAGAAACAACATTTTCACCTGATCTGTTACCCAAATCCTGCAGGAATCCAGCAGAAAATGCAGCAATCAGCAACCATAGCTTCAATGCAAAATCCCTCACTAAAGTTAAGGCTCCAAGACATAAAAGCGCCTTTTTTTTATGCAACATCAAGATCATGTTAGGCCAACCATGCTTATGTCACATTCTAACTCTCAAGTGTGTTTTGTCATAACCAATGCTCATATGCATGATTTGATAACATAATTTGACATAGTTTAACCGTTGGTGGGCGCATTCTAACTCTGAACCCCCCAAGAATCTCACGAGAACGATCATCTTATTTTTAACATGTCACCAAAATCGCATTCTAACTCCCAGTCCGGCAGTATAGGAGCTCCCCAGCCTCAATCGTCAACCGAAGATCCAGTCCCCTCCTGGCTCTCTTCAGTTGTTTGACACACTCATACCTTGCTGGAGCCGTGTCACATCGTACGAAATGGCAACTTGGCCCTGACTACTCAGCTACTCCAATCCAAGTTGAACAAGCGGAATTCACGGTGGGAGATGTGTACTGTCAATGTGACAATCTGGCATTGAATGCAGCGGAGAATCAACGACTGCTTTGCTTCAGGAGGAACTTGGCCACAGCGCTTCAGCTGTAAAACCAACTCTTCCAGCTGTAGCTTTGTGAGCGGCTCCCATGAGCCCAGCTCCACCAAGGACCTGAGAAATCTCTTCAAGAACTCTATGTAAACATAATACAGATATGTACAAGTAATAAAAATTGCAATACTGATATCCAAAATCGCATCCGCATCCACAAAAAACTCAGCTGCCAACGGAAGGTTGGAAAACCACAGCTGCAACGATTTCAGCGACCGTGCGAGGCACTGCTCTGTGTCGAGCATCTGTGCCAAGCCGGACGCATCTGCCAACCTGGAGCCCGTGAAGCGCAGGGTGAGCTGCTCCAGTGGAGGCATCTCCTGCGAATTCGACGGAATGAGAAACGCACACATTACCATTCCATTACTGTACATCCATTGGTATCTATTGGTTAAAAGTTCAACCCATATTTGTGCATATTATATTATTATATCTTCAATCCATGAAATCCATAGTATAGCCCTATTTTTGCTGGTCAAACCCATTCAAATCCCTGACTTCTCTCATCCCCGACTTGGTGAAAATCCTTCAGGTGCCACCCGCGGCAGCCTCCTGGACGTTCCATGATTGGACCCCGCTAAAGGCCAAATCCAAGCGAAGCAGACGCAGCTGCCTGTCGTTTTGCCCTTTGAAAAGCTGGTTCACTGATAGAAGGGAAAATCGTCACGGAAAACATGGTTTCCCACCAAAAAAATATAGGGGCCCCGGTGTATAAAAAATGTCCCTTTAAAAAATGAATGACTGGTAAATTTGCCATGAAAACAATGGCAGAATCTTTCGAAGAATGCTGTCTTCCATGATCATACTCACACTTTCAAGATCTTTCAACTTTCTTCGTGCAACATGCCGGAACCCCAACCCGAAAAGCCTCGGCAAGTGATTCAGCAGCTGCTGCAGCGAGTTATCCCCAAAGCCACGGCAGCCTGTGAAGGACAACTCCACCATATGCCGTGAGCTGTCGGCCGCCAGGGCTCTCCGAAGGTTGCTGGTGTCGTGCCCCTGCGTAACGGCACCAAACCAGGAAGCGATGGCAAAATGCGCTGCCAGGGCCTTGTTCCTCAGCCCATCTTGGGAGCAACATGACGAAACTCACTTCCCAAGAGATCAAAGAACTCAACAGAAACAACTTCCCAAAAGATCAAAGAAACACATCCCAAAGAAATACGCTGCGCCACTCGTTGATCGAGGCCCAGCGTCACAGCTGAATAATTTGGATCTTGAAGGGGCGCGACGACAGTCAAATCCTCAGGTCCACGGAGGGTGTCAGGTCTACGTCCATCTACATCCAGGTCAACCCATGTGCCATTGATATCAAACATGAATCATGTGCACATTCGATCAGTGACCCTGACAACTCAACGTTTTACCTCGCACTTCAAATCTGACCATCTTACTTTCCGCTTAAACTCTGCATATGCACTGAGACCTCCAAACAATAATAGAAAAAAATCAGAGAAAAAGCTGCACACTTGAGATATGCTTCGGCATGCGCGACTATGAATTTCACATGGAGAATCAATGCTGTACGTTCTCATTTGTGGGCATGCAAGCCATGCACCGGACCTGGCCTTCGTCCTTGCTTGTGTCGACGCTGAGACCCTGGCCACGGCACACATCGGCACTCTGCTGCGCTGGGGTACAGCATGACCCGTCTGCTTTCTTCACTGATGAGCGATTCCGAGGGTCAAAATCCGTGCTAGCCATTTGCCAACTGTTTACGAGACAGAAAAGAAAGATCCGTCAAAAAAAAGGAAAAGATCCCTCTTGGGTTCGACACAGCTTGAAGTCCGCCTTCTGCGCGAGCAACGTGGGAAAGTTCGCTTCGCGCAAGGCCTTCATCAAAAAGCCCAGCAGCGGCATCAAACGCGCCTCTGGGGCCGCCAGACCATCAGTGATCACGTGAGCCTCGGCATGCCAAGTTTTCCAGATTTCTCGCAACTGATTTTTTCCATGGAAAACGACCGTCTCAGGGCCATGGCCTCATTGGAGGAGTCAGTGGCGGCCACATCCAGCAGCAGTGGCGTCCCGGTGTTCCGCTCTTCAACCTGGACTTAGCCGGCTCGAAAAACATCACCGGCTGATAGGCACAGCCTTTGATTTGAGTGATATCTGCCATATTTCAAAACCACCACCTACGCACTTCCTTCAAAAAACAAGGTGTGTTCTTAAAACAAGGTTTGTTCTTTCATATTCTAAGCCTGCTGGTATTTATCATATTTGTATATTCATCAAAAAACAAGGTTCGTTCTTTCATGTTTTAAGCCTACTAGTATTTATCATATTTGTATATTCATCAAAAAACAAAGTTCGTGCTTTCATGTTTTAAGCCTACTAGTATTTATCATATTTGTATGTTATGTATTATATTTGTTTGTTTATAACCTTCTCGGTGGGGAAATGGTTTGAAGAATTTCTGCTGAACATTGGCTGGGCCACTGCGATGCTTTCTTCGAAACAGCACCAGATCCTGGTGAAGGGAGTGGTTGTTGTTGTTGTAAGCGGACGTCAACCTGCTCCTCACCGAAGTGAAGTAGTTAAGACGCCATAGTATGCCATCTGCGAGAATCAAGTTCCCATACTTTATGAAGGGGAGTGTTGTTGTTGTAAGCGGACGTCAACCTGCTCCTCACCGAAGTGAAGTAGTTAAGACGCCATAGTATGCCATCTGCGAGAATCAAGTTCCCATACTTCTCCAAGCAAAACTCAAAGGAAGCGAAACCTGCCTGAAATAAAAAGAAGTAAACACAGTGCGCCAGCTAGCATTCCGCATGGAATGTTTGTTGATCAAGTACGACTTGCCAAAAAGGTAAAGTCCGTAGCCTCTGCAGACGCCAAACTGCTGCAGCCCAAGCCACGGCTCGCTGATGTCGCTGCACAGCCGCAGCGATCATGGAGCGTGAGTCACGCAACACCTCACCTGCCTGAGCATCGGCTGTCGCATTGAGAACGCGGCAGAGATGAACATCAATCCAACCATCTGGTGGTGTCCAGTCAGGCACCTTGTTGTGAGAAGGGATCCAAGTGCAAACAGTGCCCTGAATCAATAAGCCGCTGATCCGCTGCCAGAAAAGCGGCAAGTCACCCTCCCAACGGCCAGTGCTAATGCCTCGCTGAAGCCGCCGCACCAAAGCCTGATTGTCAATCAAGAGCATCACCGGTCTGTTAGCTGCAGAAGAGGCTAAACAAGCTTGCAGAAGAGCAGCACGCTCACCTGCAGCAGGTGTTTGCTCAAAACCAGTCCCGGCACCTTGAACAGTGGTGCCTGAAAGTGTCGAAACCGCCCAGCTAGCTCTTTGCCATCGATCACAGGAAGTAGCTATGATACAACTGCCGTCCAAACCCAAGGTGGGTCGCTGAAGAGGATCGAATTGCTGAATAAAAGTAACCAAAGCAGGATCTGCAACCATGTTGGAAAAAGGCAACACAGGAGGAGCATCCACAAGTGGAACCAGCAAACGACGTTCAGTAGCGCTCCTGAACTCACCATCCCATGGCTGCGCTTGGCAGTGAAAAGTGAGATGTTCTCGATCAGGAGACCGCAATCCACATTCACAACTCAAAGCAGAACCAAGCGCTCTGTGACCCTGCCATCCACTGCAGCACCAGTCAAAACCCTGCGACTGTAGTAATCCATGCCTAAAGCTGCATTTGCCTGAAAAAGGAAAACCGGCTCCTTGCCGTTTGGCCATCGACCATCCGTTTTGGTGTCTTTAGTCCACAAACCAACGAGCCATGAATGGATAGCGGCCTTTTGCAAGCTTTTCAAAGACATCCACCCAGGTTTCAAAATCCCAGCAGGCGTGTGCCACAGGCCATCGTCAAGTCGCCATTTCCAATGTTTGAGCACTGCTTTCCAGCGAGGAGCAGGCGAGGTAGCTGCAGGCAACCCTTGGGCACGGCGGCATTGCCGATTCCATTCCGCCCGGGCGGCGGTGAACTGGAGCGCAAACATCGGATGTAGTCTTGCAGAACCCAAAGAATTCCAAAAGAGCAGCCGGCTCCTACCTGGAGGAGCCCTTCGACCCCAAAGTGCAGTTTCGATGATAGATGTCCATGTTCGAATGGTTCTTGCACTGAAGTGATGAAAAGCACCGGACCAAGCAAATAAAGATATCACCAACTTATGCACCAATGCAATGCGAGTGCCTAAGTGCTGTGCTGCCAAACGAATTTTGAGACACCGTCGCTGAATGTTGTCACTGACAATATCCGCATCAACACAAGAACTGGGGCGTGACAAATTGTATTGAATGCCAAGCAGTGTGAAAGTATCCGCAGGTACACCTACTAAATCTTTCTTCTTGCGCACCTTGGCAACCAGATGCGGTTTGGTGGCGAAGCTAGCCAATTTGTCAGGGTGAAGTTCGAAGCCGAGAATAGCATCGGCTTGCGCTCCCCCAGTCATGGCGTTGATGACCACTTCAAAACTTTGACAACCTTGTTTCCACATGGTGCGATCGTCCAAATAAATAGCCAAAGAAATCCTTGGTTCCTGCCGTTTGACAAACCTCACCCAAACTGTCATCAAAGCGTTCAGTAGCGCAGGGCTGGCTGGACAGCCTTGCAACAAACCCCGTTGAGCAAAAACCGGATGAGGGTGATAAGAACCTTGCCAAGCAAACCAACGACGCTGTTCACTGTAAAAATCAGCGAGTAAATCACAAATTGATGAGGGAGCACCGAACCATCGCCACACTTTAATGGCTGTCTGAGGGCAAACTGAATCAAAACACTTGCGAACATCAGCTTTGCACCCGACCAAATCGACACGAGACTGCTTTGCCGCGCTGACAGCTTCGTAGAAACGTTCATGGACTTCCATGATGCCCTTGCCTGGTAGACCACCAAAAAGTTCGGGCGAAGCCCATTCCGCAATCCAAGGCTGTAATTTTTTCAGAGTGGCACTCATGCAAATACGCCACAGGACAGTGACAATGGCTAAAGGGCGCATGCCACCAGTAGCTTTTGGTAACAAAGCAATTCTAACATCTTTCCACATCGTAGGAACACAGCCATGTCGCAAGCAAGCATCCCAAAGAGCACCGACCTGATCCCAAAAAGCAATGGGAAGATTGCGCAAATGGAGAGCTGTCCAGGCATCCATGCCCGGAGCCTTGTCCTTCGCTTTGAGCGCAATCCGAACCAATTCAGAACCACTAACCTGAATACAGTCATCCGGCAATGGATCGCTTGCAGAGCCAATCTGAGAGTACAACTGGTCCCCCAGATTCAAATTCGGAAGCAACCCTGGATTCCAATACCTCTCCCAATCCAATGCTGCGCACTTGGCCCTATCTGCAGGTAGAATGGGGCCATCAAAACTTGCAGTAGGACTGGCGGGCGGCACCTGTTTGACCCCCCCGCCTAGTTTGGTGGCATTTTTCTGCACGCTGTCCTTCCACGCCTCCAAGCGTAACTTGGACG